TCTTGGCTTTTGTAGGCCTTCAGTCTATCACACACACTACAAGTATTTCTTTATCTGCCATTATATTTCTCACTTTGTGGTACCTTTTTAAAAGTCATTTTTTAAAAAAAATTTTGATCTGCCAATTTTTTTCTTTATACATTTTTCTAATTAGATTTTCTTTTCTCAGCCCAAGGTTTTAAAATAGTCCTGTCTTGCCCACAGTGAAGTTCAATTTTCCTATGGTTAATTCCTGGTCCTAAGGCTCTGACACCAATTTCCTCCGGTTATCTTAGAAGAAGCATTTATTGTACAATTGGTTGTCCAGATTCAAAATGCTACTTTTACAAACAAAAATAGCCTCACAGCCTGGCTGTCTCTGCCATCTCTCTCCCAGCCTGAGGCACCATCGGTAGATGGACCACTGATGACTTCAGAGCCGTGAGATCCTTTAGTGTCTAGTACTGACGCCTTCTCTCTTCCCTTCACCCTTTCCAAATATTTCCTAAACTGATCTTCCATACATAGCAGGCTAGATTTTCATATCCATAGATTACATTTTCTTTTAGTTCAGAGAAAAACTCATCCTTTTCAATCCTGTTAGAGAAACAGAACTGTCTGAATGAGGTCCCAAGAGGAATATATACCATCTACGAACATACAATGACTCTTCCTTTGAAATCTGGGAAATGATTCACATTTCATGGTCTGGCCAGCTGCACTGGCAACCTGTATGGATGTCAATAAACTGGAAAAGACATAGAGGAACATAGAACAAAAGAATAGTCTAGCATGAACTACGGTGGCCTCTTGAGACAAATTTAGATATGTTGCTCTTTAAAACTGGTTCAAGCCAGAAGTACTTCAGACAGGTATCAGAGTTTTCAGGACACACATCTGTCAACTTCCACACATACACTGTTTGCATTAATGAGGAAAACTGGTTAGAATATTAAACAGACAACACCAACCATATTCTTAACCACCGACTGCTGGAATCCCTCCAGCTTCCAGGACCTGTCAGCCATCTCCTGCTCAAAAGGCTCTTACAGAAGCATTGTTGGAAGGATCCTGTGTTTTCTGGAGAGAAGGCATGCTGTCTTTTTTTACCTCCTACTCCGCCCTCCCTTCTACTTATACCTGAGAAGTTATTAGACTGCTGATGATACCTGGGATTTAAAGAGTAATAGACTCAGGATTTAAAACTGTGTTGTATTTTTCAGGGTTATGTTTGTAGTGCTCTTTGGAATATTCTTTAACTGCCCGCTGGAGAACTGGACTCCTACAGATTACAATTTTCAAGAGCAAAATAAGATTTAAAACATTTAGACATTTCCTTTATGGCCTCAAAGAATTCTGCACTGATCTATTTTATTTATGGAGTTAAAGTGAATTCATACAAAGATGCAATATTAGAAGATTACTAACTATTTTGAGACAAGGTCTCATGTAGTCCAGGCTACCCCTAAACTCACAATATAACAGAGAAGGCCCTCCAACTGCTTCTCCCGCTTATGCCTCCCAAGTTCAGGCATTACAGGAATGCTGCTACACAACCTGGCTGGCAGGATTATTGTTTTAATTCTTTTCCATTTAAACTTATACCATTATCAACACAACCCAATAGAAACTTGGCAGATAAAGTTTAGTATGTCTATATCTCCAAGTGGTAGAGCTTAAAAACATTAAAAAAAAAACTTTATGTGTACACCACCATCATTATATTTATGTATTATGTGCACACAGCCATTATTGTGTATTATGTATAAACTAGTTTTTCCACAAAAAAAAAAAAAAAACAAATTCAAAGAAACCAGGCCAGGAGAGGATCACTAGTAATCCCAACACTCAGGAGTTCAAGGTCAACCTGTGGTACTTGAGACCTGTTTCAAAACAAAACAAACAAAAACCAAACAAATTCAGAAGGAAGGAAGGAAGGAAGGAAGGAAGGAAGGAAGGGAGGGAGGG